TTGTTATTATTATTATTGTCGTACAGGTCAAAACGTAGGTTTGTAAATTATTAAAAATTTCCGGGTGATTTGTGAGATAGGGAATAGCCCAATTTTTTTTTTTTTCATTTTTTGTCCCCCCCTTCCTCTGTCATTTATCTTGGATTTTATTTCATTTGTATACTCTTTCTTTTATGATAGATGGCCGTACATAAATTTTACCGGTATTATGCATTAGGCATTTTTTTATCCACCATCATCGACCTTTAACCGAAGCTGGAAGTCGAGGAACAATATTGCTAGCGGATGATGGGGAGAGCGGGGGAGAGGGTGTGAAAGGTTTGTGGTCAGCATAAAGAAAACTTGTGATTCATGAGAAAACTTTTTTCGTGACTGAAATGATTTTTTTTTCCAAAATTCTGGATACAGCTGCGACTGAGCAGAAGATACGGCTAGGCTTTTCCTCCATTCAGTAAGAACAAAATGCAGGGCCGTATCGTTAGCACGTGGTGTGACTTGAAATTGCAGTACAAAAAAAGAGTCGGGGTAGGCAGTACCGGTTAACGTTGAGAAATGTAAAAATTTCAAGAGAACCAAACGAAAATGTAAAGCTGAAAAAAAACTAAAAAAATTTTGCGATACGCTTGCGCGCGTCTGGATGGCGCATAAGAAAAAAATGTAAATACAAATGTAAATGCAAATTTAAATGTAAATCCGAATTACGAAAGTGGGACGAGAGCGCGTGGTGAGATAAGAAGATCCGACGTTGGAATTTTTTGAAAAATTATCACCAACTCCACTTTAATGTTTACGAATTGCGTGTAAGGATTTGCCAGAAATTTTTTCAATGAAAAAATCCATTCGTATTTCTTTTTCATAGGAAAATAAAACTCGTTCTACATTCTCTTCGACGTAATGCAATGTCTGCAATCGACATTTAACAATCGCCACTTACACGCACGTCCCAGTGTGTGTAATTTCACGTCGCCGTCGACTGTATAACCGGCGTCATAAATTATACCTAATATCACCATAAATTTTTCAAACACTCAAGACACCGCCAGTCTCTGCCGCGTTTACTGCATTCCATCTAAGAATTAATCGAGCGCACGTGCTACGTATCGGGCATAAATTTATTAACATGTGAATCGTATTAAGCTCGGCAAAGCACGTTACGCTGTTAACTGCAGAATGCAAGTGCAGTTTGTATGACTTCAAAACAAAAAATTGAACCCCGTAACAGTAACTACCTAGAATAAATCGTGCAGACTAATACGGACATGAATTTCATGCAAGAGGCCATCGTCTGTATTTCCTGCATAAAACCCTGAACTCGTATTGTTTCCAGAGTTTTCCAACCTCCAAATTAAAATAACTTGAGTGACCAAAAAGAAAAATGAAAAAATCTCTGAGCTTATGTAAACCTGAAGTCAGACACTACAGTTTATTTAAATGCTCGCCTATTTCAAACCAGGAGTCTTTTGATCAAACGCCTAGTGTCGTTATCCTCTTGTCGTTCGGTATTGGTCTAAATATAAAATAACGAATGTAAAAAAAATATTTTTTTCTAATTTCTTTAAATCATTTGCACCCATCCATCATTCTCTTGCGTTATTATGCTCTCCATTTTTTTCTTTCTTTCAAAAGAACCCCTTTTGCTTAAAAAAAGCCTGTCACATGTGTTTCCAGTATTCTGTACAAAAAAAAAAAAACAAGAAACCAAAATACTTTTTTTTTCTTGTCAACCACATTCCACTGTGTTTCTTCACATCTTGTATTCTTATAATTGGTACCACGGAGAGAAATGTTTGGTTCAAATCACAAAACCAGTGGTTCGTATTTGAAGAACAAATTCCAGTAGCAAATAACAAGTGTAACAAAACTAACAAAGCAAGCCTTCTTCTATGATTTACAATAGCCGTGGTTAATCCTTACACAAGTTTTGTCATTGCCATTAGAATTTTTCTTGGTGCTCAGACATTAATTATTTCTACGTTAGTTGCGGGCATACATTTTTCTTTGTGTACATTTGCCAAATCCTGCTTTTTTTGTATCGCTTTCAATCTACCCTTTCATTTTCGCTCTTTTACATTCCTCCTTCATTCCACTCTTCATCCTGTTTCTCCATTACGCGACGTCAGGTACGCATTGCGTACTCGCGGCAAGGCAATACGGCCAAATATGGCGAAGAAGACTTTTGTGGTATAACCGGTCGAAGGTTATATTCTCTCTTTCAATGCTGTGTACTATATATATAGCGTCAGAAAAAAACCACACGGAAATTCGACAGGACCCTGTTTGTCCGTAGGAATTGAAAGAGAAATAAAAAAGAAATTCCCTAAAAAAAATAATCGGTATTATTCGCAATTGAAATTTCGTGTAGAATTATAGGTTAAATTTTTTCTCGACAATTCTCTACAGTACGTATTATGACAAAGTGACTAAGAAAAATTTGCTTATTTGCGATCAAAAATATATGTATACATATATATAGCAGAAAATTATAAAAGCCGAAAAAAAATGTTAGCAGTATTATTATAACAATTAGACAGCTCATTGGACACGTAAATGAGATTGACGTTAGTCTTCACTTTTGTTTCTTCTTTCCCCTTGTTTTTCAGCGGGCGCCTAAGAAATGGCGCCTCTGAAAATTTCCCATTTCATAAAACAAATATCACGGCAGGTTGAGACTAAAGAATGAGGAATAGGTATTACCTAAGGCCATTCTTTTAGAAATGAAAGATGTCTCCTGTAATAAACTTTTTTTTTCTTCTCCTTCTCGCTGCCGATGACACAATCTACTTCGGGCACTCTTTCCTTATCAGGAGAGTAAAGCGCGTCAGAACAGCCGCGACGCTGAAAGTCACGGAAATTCGTGGAATAATTTCTTACCGAAGATAATATCCTTTTTTTTTTTTCAAAAACCCTGCAATTTTTTTTCTTCATTCTTTTTGTTCCATTACACCGTCATGTCCTTACGATCCGTGACAGTTTCTACGGTGACAACATAATGTTGAAATCTAAGTGACGGACGTACACGACAAAGAAAATTGTCAACAAAGAGGAAACGAGTGCTGAGAGAATATTTTTTTTACTTTGCTTAGATGGATAAGTCAGAAGGATAAAGATTGGTAATCCTTGTTTTTTTTACAAACTGTCACCTTATTGTTGTAAATCCACTGTGTCGACTCGTGGGAGCCCTTAAAATACTGAGATGGGAAAGAAAATATAGAATCACTGGGGATGCAGAGAAGGCCACTCTATCCCGTTGGCCGGAACCTCATATCAACCCCATATCAAATTTCTGTAACTCTACAGGGACGTTCAAGCTGTTAGTCTTGTCATACGAAGATTCCTCGACAGTAAAAATCATACCCAGTGCAGATATTATATATAGATAGGTGTAGGCAGCCCACGTGTTCTATGTGTCGTTTTTTGACAGTTCGCAAAAAAAAAATGAAATTCTTAGCAAATCACACATGACTGCATAAATAATGATGCTGAAACAAAAAAGAATGTAATATATTTAAATAGAATATCATGCAGATGCATAATTTTTAACAAAAATTTAATGCAGAGTCCACGTGTGGCTTTCCCAGAGACTTCACAGATATCGATCTGTCAAAAAATCACATTTAACTCGTGGACCGACTATATCAATAAAAACAAATTTTGTATATCCTAGCCTTACCCTGATCCATCTTAGAAAAAATATTCTTAAACATCCCATCCTTCCACAGGCAACGTTTGGGTGTTGCGAAAAATAGGAAAAAATTTTTCATAGTATCTATTAAAAAAAAATACCAATGCTCTAGTAAAATTTTGTAACTATTCCTACGTCATTGTTATCTCGACTAAGTTTATCACTCGAATTAAAGAGGCGGTTAATTTCACGAGGAAGATACGAGATGACTCTTAACCCAAAATCCCCGAATGTTGTTTTTCGGCACTTAGCGAACTCACACGTGGGTGACTCGTGTCCGCGACATATTACACAATCTTAATACGTGCAACATTTTTTTTTTCAATTTTTGGGTTTTTCCTAAGATCCGAACTCTGAAATAAGGGATGCACCCTATTGATCGATTTTTCAAAGGCTCGAGTTACTCATGAATCGAGAATTCCGGGTTAATAAAATTATCGTCGACGAAAGCCAGAGATCTCCAAACTGTACGGAGATAAACGAAATTTGCACAAGACATGAAGTAATCTCTGAGAACACTTCAGAAAATCCTTAGAATTGTAAAGATGAGAAGCGAGGTAGTCATGCAGAATGCAGGCGTCCCAGCGACCCCATATCGAAATCCGATATCAAATTTGCTTCGATCTATCAGGCTCTGTCCGAATTTTTTTCCCGAACAATACTTATTCCAGTCAGCCCTTCGCACCCGTTTCACGTCCTGAAAAGCATTTCCAACGTCCAGCATAATGACTTCCTTATATTAAAATACAGCTGGGATCTTATGGTATAGTAATGAATGGGGGGGGGGGATGAAATGAAATTCCAAAAAGAAAAAAATAATAACGTCAAGTATAAAAACAGTGTGAAAATTTTTAAAAAATTCTCAAAAAATCTTGTGTCAAATAAATCCAAACGACTACCGAGCTATATTTCGAGAGAAATGTGGAAACGTAACAGGCAGGGCTATCAGAAGAAAAATTATTCGAAATCTTCTTCGCAGTCAATGGAGTTCTTGAGAAATAAAGAAAAACAGCTTATAGACGAAACCACGAGAAGCCGCATGGTTATATCCTCCTTGTGAGCTGGTAAACAAATATCGCACATCGCAGTCTCGAAATTTCAAGGATCCTTGTACGACCCATGGGAATTCTAAGATAGCCCACTCTTTGCGAACGCCGCACCCCATAATTTCAGCCCTGAATTCGTTTGAGGATGCAGCAATAGGTTAGTGAATAAGTCAACCCACGTAATCGAGACACGGTGGAATATTAAAATAAATTTCAGCTGCCTCTGTCATTTGCTTTCGTAATAATAAGTATAATAATCAAATTAATCGTACTTGACAGCTGTCACGACGCCCGAGAGATGCAGTCGACTTAAAAAAAAAAAACATTGAATAAGATGACAACTTTTGAATTACATTTAGATCAGACCTCCTAATTTTAAACACATAAAAATCTCATTACGCCCTTAATCACGTCCTGGCAAGACATTTTTTTTTCTCACAATTTTTCAGCATATTCTATCACAACCCACGAGATAATCTGCAGCGTGCGAATCGCCATAAAGCGATGGTTATCATCATTAAAGAATCATCAAACCAGGAAGCATCCCGTCGGTAAATTCATACGTAACGGAACATTGGTAAATTCCTTCCAGCGTCCTGATTGGTCGTAATAATTTTAATTTATTTAATGAAATAATAACGACTCACCGACGCTGTCGAATTATCGTGATATCACAAGCCGCCGTTCATGAAGATTTTTTTATTAGCCTCTAATGATCCCACCCGTTATCGTGAAGCAGAACTGAAAAAAAAATATATGATAATCATCTAAAAGATATTTCATATTAATAATGTCCGACTAGTATGACGTCACGCCAATCTTCCACACACCGAACATAGACGCGCTCCAGCATTAAATTCGAATTTCCCATAAGCGGCAAATTCACAGTAATGAGAATGCACCAACGCACCGTTACATTCTGCAATTGTTACGTCACATCCTATACGCAATCTTATTTGGCTAATCGTCCTTTCAATTTCCTCTGCGATGCATCGAGGCTCCACTTCCGTTTTCCGTGACAAATTCTCTTACTTGATATAACATCCAAGAAAACAAGCTGCCATTCCGAACACCCGTTATAACAGTCAAGTCCATGAGACTCGTTTGATCATTTTATTATGCATCACAGAAATTTGTGTTTTGTTTGTTTCGAACCGTCGCGATAATTTATTTTTATTTCACACCGGGTACATATATTGTTTTTCACTGTATATCTACGCAAATATATTAGCCCTAATTTATGTAGCACTACAGGCAGCAGACAATAAAATTTATGTGAAATTTGTTTTAAAAATTTTAAACTTTTATTTTAAAGCTCAATTATATATATCGAAAATCGTCCAACACCCGAGGTTACTGAAAACTTCAAAGAAAGGTACCTGCATGAAATTTAATGTACGGATGGCTGAGAAACATATGAGAATTTATTCAGATCAAGGAAACTCGAGTGAAAATGAAACAATGATACGAGACACGTCAGACACAGCATCCCTGACATGAGAAATAGTCCAATTTCCAAGTTTCTCATAAATAACTGACATATCCAACGCATACAATCACGTGGACTATTTATTAACGAATAAAATATTATTTAACAATTTTTTACCAATCAAGTAATTTTGCGATAAGGCCGAATTAAGCGTAACGGTACAAAAAATTTTAATGCTATTGTCAGACTTTCAAATTTTTTAAATCCACTTCACCAATGTCCAAAAATGCATGACCGAAAGTTCAAACGTCTTTAGAAGTAATAGCAGTGCCTGTGATTCTCTTTTGCTTTAATATATAATTAATAGCGCCCCATTAATGAAACGATAAACGTAAAATTAAAAGTATACAGTGTACGGTCGGTATAGCAGTATATCGTATCAGTGGGTTGTGGTAAATTGCTATAAGGTCAACGTGTATGAAAATAAATGCTTGTCTCCTCCTGCGGATATATTACTCAGAGATTGTGCTATACGACTGACAAGTATTTTTCAAAGACCTTTGTACCTAAATATATGTATATATACCCCTTGTGCTTAATAGGAGTAAGGACTTTTTTCCCTTGATTGAAGAAACTCTCTCTCCATCCCTCTCTTTCTTTAATCTTTCTCTTGAAAGTTGATTCGAACGACCGAGTACGGACCTACGTAATCCGACGTTTTGAAATTTCCGAGATGAAAGTGTCCGCGTCAAGTGAGCCTACAGGGTGTAGTTATAAAAGGATGTAGCAAAGAATCAGAAATGAAATTTGGCAGAGAGAAATTTGAATAAAATATTAATATTAATGCTTAAATATGTTCACATTCGTACCGAGACTACGCGACATCCATGACAGGTAATAAAAGTTTAAAATTTAATTTAAAAATTAAAAAAATTTTTGACAGCTTCGACATGCCCGTACGTATGTAGTAAGAAGGATGCGAAATTAAAACTCGTTTAAAGGGACGTTTGAAAAAGTTTTTTTTTTCTGGAATAAATTATCCCCGGAGAAATCTTCTGTGATTCGTCTTTAGGTTTATTATTTCAAGGGTAATCCGGTACCGTTTTTGCAAATGTGTACGAATAATTTATACCGTGTTAATGGGAGAGAGAAGAAAAATTCGTTACAGCCAAAAGACATAAAGTCAGACAGATCCGGGTGATCTCTATGTAAACGGTGCTCAGATCATTTACTCTGTTTTCTTTCTCTTCTTCTACCTTCCACGTCTATTTTTATTTTCCAACGTCAATTTCCTTTCGCTCGTTTCTCAGGAACGATACGAGCGCACCTCGTTATTTATAGAATTTGAGAATTCATAGGATTTATGGAATTCACATTGAATTTATAGTATAGCCCAGAGGACCGACTCGTCCCGGCTATCCACGATCGGCGAAACGTGAGGCGGCGAATGAATTTCGCACGAGCGACAAAATCTTTTAAGCTTCCGCGCACGACAAGTTGAAGAAATTTGTGAACTGCCGGAATTTACGTAGTTAAAGTTTCGACGAATTTATTAACCAGAATATCGAAAATCGTCCACATAGTATCATTATAATAGCAGTGGTACTAATAGTGTCGTTCCTTGAGGATCCGGCTATTTTATTACAACGACACGTACAGAGAGCTGTCGTCATCTGCTTGGAATTTCCGAAAATCATTGAAGCCCCAATAATTCTGACAATGAAATTTCTTTGTAAAAAAGTGACTGTGTCGGATATTCCTAGAGCGATAGAAACTTCGATAATTTTTCATGAATAAATCGTCAGTACTGTTTCTTAATTCAGATTAGAAATGCGCCTTTTACTTATAAAGTTTCTGCAATTCATAACCTGCAGACAAGCGTGTCTTATATATACTAGCATTAATCAATCCAATGAAAATTTATCACACTGTATATTGAAAAAAATTAAAATGGCGTCAGGAATTTTCAAAATTATTAAAATTCAGCACTTTAGTTGTATATACAATTAATTCCACGTGTCCTCCTCTTATACACCTATGGATGTGATTTTTTAGAGAATTTTTCTGCTTTGTACGTATCGCATTGTCCGAGCGATTCAGCACGGTTCTTTATTACATGACAATACTCATTGTACATGCCTTGATACGTTTCTACGTGTCAATGACTAAAACTGAATTTCCATGTAAAAATCAAACGACTCTATACGTGCATTCTGTATTAAAAAGGTTGAATTCTCGCGAAGAGAGACAGAGGACAGTGAAAAAGTGTTATTAACTGTCGCTTCCATTAAAGTTTTGCACAGTTGGGAGTATCAATTATCCTAGAAGAATTTTCATTCACCTAATTGAAAGTCGATAAAGAATTATCAACTGACTTGGCAAACTAACCGATGAGGTACAAAAAGGATAAGTAAATGTGAGAAAAAGAGCACGAATCGCTGACAAAATGCAATTGTCTTGCCAAGAGGAATAAATGATGAAAGCTACATTTCCGGGGAGGATTATTTTCAAATTTTTAATCATCTTTTGCCGCTTCCATTATATCATGTAGTTTGGAAAACCCGCCATTGGCCATTAAATTCAAATGAATCTAACGTCACGTAAATCGCAGCTTTATGCCCAGCACTATGTTTCAGAATATACGGCTGGTAATTATTATAATGCTAACCGGCTGTACGAAACGGCATTTGTTAGGTGAACTTCCAAAAAGGAGCGGCTTCCCAAGAAGAAGGAAAAAAGAAACGTAAGGAATAAGAAGAAAAGAGAAGAGCAAATCGGTAATATTTCCCGCCAAATAAATTAACCTTTCGGTAAAGCAGACTTGACATAATGGCCCCAATTGGTAAAGCTGTTAAACGGCGTCCAGTCCTTCCAACTGTTTCAACTGTACAAAATGAAACGCGTTTCACCCCAGAAGCCTCTTCCATCTTGAAGCACTTAATAATTTTATAAAGTAGCACAATAATCGTTCCATCAAGCCATACCTAAATATTTATACAAAAATAAAGAACGTCGAAGAGCAATCATTAGCAATTGCATTGACCCGTCTAAAGATATGATATACTACATATAAGCTTACTGATTCTTGGAATTTTTTAATAAGATACATCAATAGCTCGTATTCAGAACTCGCTTTTAGTGCTAATAGCGTGCTTTTAAATAATTTGTTAGTGACTTTTAACTAAAAGCGACTCTGTAGGTGACTTTAAGAACGAATTCTGAATATCTCCACAATATACATATATAATAAACATCATAGTAGAACACATTCACGAAATCATTCGTGGTTAGTGATACCGAAAAAGCAGAATAAAAAATTTTTAAAAACTAGACAAAAGTATTTTCAAATTAAAAATATATCAGTATGTAAGGGAAGAGTACTCACATTCTGTCAGAAAGTTGTCGAATCAAATCTGAACGAGCAGGAAGAACGGTTGCTGATCAGTCAAAAAACACAGTCGTATTGATATACGAAAAAGAAAACTGATCAGATATCAAATAAAAACTGTAAGCACACGCGTAAACACAATGAAACAGTCTCCCTAACTCTCTGTCTCTTTATTTTTGTCTCTCTGAAAAAAATACTCGAGAATTTTATTCCCAAAGAGAATAAACGTCAGAGGTGTTAACGATGACAAGAATTGCACGTGGGGTCGTCGACCGCGTGTATCGTGTACTGAGAGAGAATTTAAAAAATTTATATTCTCCGTGTATTACCACAGGCTTCTTCAAAGTCTTTGCGACTGCAAATCGCAGTATGAGAATGGTCCGTCATTTGATTGACACGAAAATGTTGACAGAACGAAACAGGGTAAACAACTGTGAGAGACGACGCGAACTGTTAAAATTATTTAAAAAAATATCCGTCATGTACTAAATAAAAAAAGAACGAAAAATTAATTATTAATTTTATTCTAATTTTCCTTTTGCTTTTATTTCTCGTCTTTCTCCTCTTTTTTATAATTCAACCTTTATTGACTGCAGTAGTCTATTCTGTCTACTTCTCCACCAATGGAGGTACGAGAGCGACTGAACTCTCTTGGTCGAGAGTGAATGAGGATATGGAGGAACTCACGGCGTGTCTACTAGCGATACGACATTCGCGACGTCGAGGAGCACGCGCCGTTTTGTGCTCGAAAATCCACGCTCGAATATCCCACTCCCCACTTCCATCCATTTCCATCCACTTCCATCCACTTTCCGCTCAGTGATGCTCTAACCACCTAGTTAGATAGTCAAATAGTCAGTCAAGTAATAAACGATTGATATTGTTTATTTCTTCTTTTGTTTACTACAGCAAAACATTTCTTACTTTGCTTTTTTTATTTTACTAGGCAATATCTGAATTACAAGTATACACGATAGGTTTATTATTCCAACTATTGTTCATTCAATATATGTATGTATAATAACTAATTGATAAATAACTATTATTTGAGTCTGGCATTCTAGGGAATATTATGCAGTTTACTGATGTGGGTACGTAGAATGATAGATAATCACGAAATGAGTTTATGATAATTAGGTTATGACAATCTTGACAGTTTTGGATGAATTATACCTTGTTTTAGCTAATTAACAAATCATTGATTGCGTGGGATGTATTAGGTTATCTGGATGAGTCAATAATTTCAGAGATCAATCAATCCTGCAAGTGTAGGAGATTCTCGTTGGAAGTTTCATGACATTTTATTGACTGATGTAAGAACGATTTTTTCACATTATCGATATATCATCAATGCTATGTTAATGAGACGGTATGTTTGATATAAAATGGCAATGTCTTTGTAATGCATTCTTAAGCGCGTTTAGAAGTGGCGACCCTGACACGATCCGCTAACAGGTAATAATATCAAAAGATGATACGACACGTAAAACTTTAGCCTTGCATAGACTGAGATGTTTGCAATTAACCTAAGGAATGTATCCTTAATTACCATAGCTGATAATTCAAACTATATACACAAAGTTACATTAAATATATATCGCCTTTAGTTATGCTCGTTCAATTCTAACCTAACAATCATCGTCGTTGTTTCCTGTGTGGTTTCTAATACCAAATTTTCACTTTAATAATCTCATATCTGCCGCTTTCCTGTTTCATTCACATTTGAGGCATCTCAGCTACATGATACGTTTAATCCCGGCATATGAAATGCGTAAAACGGGAACTTTTTATTGTACACTGCCAAATAGGATATTGCATGAGAGTAGGCGGAGTCCTCGAGACTTTACGATTGGCAGGAGCGCATACCATCCTATATAAATATATATATATATATATGTAGGGAGATGTACACAGCGCGAGAGAGAGAGAGAGAGAGAGAGAAAGAGAGAGAGAGAGAGAGAGCGCAAGAGATACCGGTATATAAGAATCTGAAGATAATTCTTGAGTACCGTTCTCCCATAATTCGAAACTTACACTATATACCTAATGATTTACTGTCCGCCCTTTTATTTCTACATCATTACGCACCCGTGCGGACGGTTAACTTTCCCGTGCTCGTATTAAAAATAATGTCTACCTTCGGCCGCGTGCTCCCTCCTATATATTCCATTGCCAATTAGCAAATTGCACAAGATCCATTTCTGAACTAGGCCTCCATGCCTGTACAGAATTCTACCATATAGTCCTGACTATGCATTCGTGACAGTTTCATAAAGCCACTTTGAATTTCCATCGTAAACCTGGAAAGTTAACAGTAGCGCACGTAACGCAAATTACGTCGTTTGGATGCTCCACTACTGTGGCTTCCATTGCTTGTTTCCGCAATACCGCTATACCTACCGAGTTTTTTGTATTCTAGCGGTTTATTTGAATTTGAGGAATCTTATAAAAATCAAGAACGACGTGTCTTCTTTGTATTCGGTTTCGATTAATTCGCTGAGCAGAGCGCTTAGAGTCGATTATACTTCGTTTTATTTCCTGCTTTGCATTTTTTTCAGGAAGGATTGGTCAAGTACGTCTGTCAGAAAATATATTTGCATTAACTTTTTATTGGCAGAAGTTATCATCACCCACTAGTTATGCCCGAATTGCTGAGTATATGTAGAAAAATTGGAAAATGAAAAATATTTTTGAAAAATTTGTCCCTTGTGAATGTAAAATGAAAGGTATTTTTTTATTTATTACGGAAATTCAATTTACTTGTGTACGAGCAATATATCATTCAACTGAGAGAGTAAATTCTTTACCTTTTTTGTTTTACGAAAGTACGGGCCTTTGATTCTCTAAGAAAAATGTAGAATCCTTTTCAATTTTCTTAAATATTCTAGTAACGTACGCCAAAGTTTACAAGGTACTGTGAAATAAGAACACCTTATTCCGTGAAACCCGTCATTTTATTCAGCTCGTATTTGCGTTACGTGGTCTGATACATATATCGTTTTATTCTTTTATATTAAAATATAGAAGTATCCATTCGCTTCACAACGTATTAACTTCTAGATTTCGACACATTATAGCGGAACATCTGAGATAGAAAACGTGGGGAAACAGAATTGAAGAAACTTTTAAAAAATATAGTTTTATCGGGAAATGATGAATAAACATTCGACTAGATTTCTTTTTAATTTTTATTTTTCAGTAAACAATATGTATTAATAAATGTATTCGCATGAATCTTAAAATAATTTAGGCTGCTTTTCACTAACTTTCACATATTATATGCTTTCTGATTTAAAAACGTACTATTGAATCGCACGAGGATCACATTTCTTATTGAAAAGCAAATTATATTGAATAAATAAACTTGCTGAATATTCACTGAACAAATTCATTTAATTGTTCGAAGTAATTTGTTGAATTATCAAACAAAGATTATCAATAACGCTTCGCACATTGCACAGTGATTTATTAAATACCCCTACGTTCATCAATTAAGAAAATAACATGAATTGTACATGATTGATGCAAGAGTGAAGTATTATTATAAAATGAAAATAATCTTTTCTTCACACATATCGATACAAAACATATTATTTAACGTATACTGACCGTTAATACTCGATGATAACAATAATATCATAATATCCACATGAAAAAATTTCTGGCAGGTTTTTAGTATTCCCATACATTATATAAGTGTTTCAAGGATTATCGACACAATTTACTCTGTAATCATTTATTATGTGAAAACGCACTCAAACTGATGTTGAAAAAATGGTACATTTACAAAATATCAAGGTGTTGTTGGAACCGAAAAAAGATGATTTTGAATAGAGAAAAAATGTTTTTTTTTTGACTACTCACATAATGATGTCATTTCTATGTGTCTACGCATGTATAAATCCTGGTGATGTACCGTATGAGAATTTATCAAGACTTGAGCGACTATGCGCACTGGATAGTTTTGGAAAGGACTCATCCATAAAATCATCCTCATCATTTTCTTCAGATTTGTTACTTTCCTTTAAGGAATTCGCTTCGGAACTCGCCTGATAATGAATATAGATTGGATTGATCCTGGCACCACTGCGCACCAGAACATAAGGATCGAATGGGAAAAACGTATCCAGCCACGTGATTAGTCGACTACTGTTCTCTAAAACTGGGAGATTACTACGTGAATTATGTTCTATTACTGCATAACAATAAGCTATTTGATAAGTTCTAGTGATAGCAGCAAAGTTTTGTATAACTGCAGGTTGACAGACTCGCAAAGGATTCAGTCGACATGTTACAATTTTCGTCAAGTTCAGCCCTTGGAGGAACATCAGATCTGTGAAACAATGATTAGTATAAAACGAAGCTGAGAAGAAAAGCGAGTGTGAATATTGCTTAATTACTTTTTTTAGTCTCCACAAGATCCTTGTGCCGGAAAGCTATCAAGTAAAATAGTGATTGACACACTGAATAAAATACAGTGTGCACTCTGACGTCACTATTCGCACATTCAAGACTGTCCTGGGAAGAGATATAGCTGTGTATCCAGGAAGACATTTCGAATAACATTGTTTTCAGGATACTGAAAGCAAATTAACAAAATGATCTTATGGAAATTCGATAAATATTTCCTAGAGCTTCGACCCGTACCAAAGCTAAAGATGATATACCAGAAATTCTGATTTAAAAAACTGACTTACCCTATAGGAATAAAGGTGGCTCTTGCAAGTATACTGGCGATGTAGGAAACTGCAGATTGTCGCATAATAGGTGCAACATTTGGATTAGACACTTTACGCCACAACCAATTGATAAAAGTCTCTGCGACAAGTGTTCGAAAGCTACAAATGTAGAACAGGATAAACTGGACATGGTGACTAGCGTGGGTGGGTAGAATAATTTTATCAAAAATTTGCACAAGATCCTGATAAAGACTTTTCAAAGGATCCCAGTCGAGGTTTCCGTTTGGGTGGCAGGTTCTGTATATATATAAGAGGACTTGCTCCATGCACACGTCTAGTGTATGTGCTACAGGATGTTTCAGTGATTGTTGCTTATTAGATATTACTGCATCATCCATTTTAAATACCCCTCCTCCATCATCATCTTCCTCCATTGCCTCTTCTTCAAGATCCTCTATTTCGGTACGTGGTGCATTGACGTCTAGTACTATTAATCTGTAAAGAAATGCAAGAATCTGTTACTGTGAAACATTTATTTTAGGGTATTTTGTACTTACCTGTTAATTATTAAGGACACAATATCAGAACGTAGTTGTGGAGCATATTCTAAAATTTGTAGTAGTGAATGAACGTATATTTCATGTGAATGAGTACTGCGTTTCATGTATGGATACATGGATGTAAGAGACTGCAGTAAAACATCAGATGACCTGTTGAAAAATATTTATAAATTGTTTGTATACCTTAGTAAGCTTAATATTTTTTAAAACTAAATGCTCACATTGGTATAATTTTCAGTAATTTTTTAAGAACATCATGTACATGATTAAGTCTCTGTAAATCAGTCTCTCTTGGATTTCCAGCCTCCCATTCCATGGCTTGATCGTTTGCTGTACAAATAATATTAAATGTGATAAAAGAATATAGAACGTGAAAACCATTGAATAAAGAAACAATTTTTACATAAATTACCTGGTCTGAACTGCTCAACAAGTTTATCGATGATACATTTTGAATGATAGACGTGTGCACATACTAAATCCTCTAGAAATGCCTTGTAAGCATTCGTTGCTGTTTTATTGCGATTTGTCCAATTAATGTTAAGCAATGCCTCAACAAAAAGTCTGTGCATGGGTCCCAACAGTGATATACACTGACGTACTTCAGTGAGTAGCTCAATAAATTCACTGTCCTACGATTTAAAAAACACAATGTTATGTCGATACTTCATTAGTATATTTATACCTAATATATATATATATATATATACATACCTTAATGGTTGAATCACGCAAAATACAAATCAGATCTTCATAAACTCTTCGTTGAGTGCCATTCTCAAAGTTAGTTAGAATATGCTTTAGATTTTTTGGAAGTTTGAAATGTACTTTGTTTGGTCGATCAACTAATTTTGCTCTTACACCTGGATTCTTCAGTATAGATGATACACTACTGACTCTTGAAGACACGACTGACATCTAAATATAAAATATAAGACACAATAGTATAAAGATGACACCATATGATGACACGCTCATTATTGCTGATATTCATTTTTCAAAATATACATGTAAAACGGAAAATGAAATATTAACAGCGTAACAAATGACTCAATCATAATAAATTGATTAATAGATTATATTTATGAAGAAACAAAAGCAAAAAACTCTATAATCAATCAAAGGTAAAGCTCAATTAATTTCACAAGTTTAATTTTATCCCCATAAAATAACCTTAAGAAGAGAAATCACGAATAATTTTCTAAAAAGAAAGTAAATACGTCCAGGATTATTCATACTATTTTAACCCCACTAAATTTTGCTTAGTAGCATATGTCAAGTAACACATGCTTGAAGCATATGCTACAATTGATTGACCAAGAATAATTAATTCATTCAATGTTATAAATATGCATTATAACACCTTCAGATATAATTTCCTAATTTCATTGAAAAGTGATCAGAAAATGCTCAACGTGTTCAAGCAACATGTGACAAGTATAAGGTTACACCGACTTAAAGAAATCAGTCTCAGATTATTTACCTTAAAATATAAAACAGTTATAAACAAGTTGAAGGTAAAATAGCCACAATCCACACTATACGCGATTTCACGAGCAAATATGTGTCCTAAACTGCCTGCGAACAAAAATATCCTTCGAAGACCGTTCCGTGCCACTCGCCACTCAAACTGTCTACAATTGCTTGATCGAATTCCCGTGTTGCAGTTCCGTTACCGGTAGACCGATAGATGGCACTGCCAGAATTCCTCATGAAGACCTCAATAATCATTTTAAATATAGCTTCATATTTTCATAGTATTGAGGGAAACATGAAAGTGCATAGTAATGTACGTTGTATAACATATATTAACAATATTACAAAGTACATAATAATTGTACAATTCTTTACTACTATTATATAAGAAACTAATCACTTTTATACATCATAGCCATAATATGGCCCTTCCAAAAAAGCTTTGTGCATATCCAAAGAGTTCCTTCGGATACGTCGACCAATGGGTTCCAAGTCTTTATAACATTTGGAAAATACACGATCGACAGCGGCCAGTGCTTCTTCTTCCGAAACATTTCGTACAGCTAGTACAGACATCATGGCTTTTCTCTTTACACAATTCTGTGATAAGAGATTATGCTTTTGTAGTTGTGGAATATTTTGGGTGGGTCTTATATGCATAACGGTATATATAGTGAAAATGTTGATCTTACCTTGTGTGTTTCTCGTACGTTTATGAAAGATGCGTCACCCTGCATGAATGCACTCAGGAAACTACAATGTGCTAAATTAGCAGCTCTTATTTCAGTACAGGCTAAATGGTCAATGTTTTTAAAATCAAGATCATTGCGACAATAATCAAACATGTGAATCATTTCATGAGTGAGAACACCCTGCACTGCTCCTTTACTTGTAGCAGTATTCTGACAGATTACTACCTAAAATAAATAAATATACGAGATGTAACATTTTAATTTTTAATTAAATAATTCATACCTGATTTAAGTCAGGATCATATCCACCAGTAACAGACACATCACACATTTCACAGGATATATGTCGGCGTATATCGAACTCACTATAAAGAAATAGCAAATGAATTAGAGAACAAAGTTGACTCATTGATAATATGTATAAATTATAATATACCAGCCAGAGCTCTTTAAAGCAGCTACCATCAGTTTTATCAGTGGACCTATAAGCAGAATGACAAGAATTAATTGCTTTGCAAAACAGTACTCCTACTCCATCCTTTTACATAGATGAATTGTTAACAATCAACATATATTCATGAGTACACTTACTATTTTTAATACAATAATAAACATTCCTTTCACATCTTATCTTTTTCATCCCTTCGCGACCTTCAATACCCATGAATGTTTTAAACCAGCTGCGTTTAAATTTGTCTCCTCTTCGTTCAGGATATAAATCATATCCCCAATCTCGTTCTTCGCCAACTGGGATTTTTGAGTTTTGTTCAACATTATTATCTTGTTGTTGTGGAGTCCCACTGTTATCAGTATCCATGTCGTACAAATTTAATTAATCCTTTTCAATATAAAAAATTTAATATTACCAATGTTGTACATGTATCTTATATTTTTTAAAGGTTAAGCCCACTCTTACAACAGTTCCACCAGCTAAATAGCAAAATCTTTCGGAGGAGAATTATTCTCATTATTCTAGGTTAAGATACAACCGATAAGTTCGGAAGTCATAGAATAAAAAACTCAATAGACTTCCTTCCTTCTTTCCTTCCTCCAGAGATGAGTAGGAAGATAAACAACGCTACGGTTATAGGCAGAGGATTAGGATTTAGGGATAGGAGGGAGTATGATTTTGTGATCATCGCCTCCGTCGATAAAGCATATACCGTCATAGCCGACCTCAACGTGATCGCGAAAGTGTTGGCTGGCCGGCAGAGGTTCTCCACAACTTACCGCTGGTTCCCAGGGCACCTCTTAGAACGAGGCAGCTCATTAGATATTGCCTAAATTTGTTTTTTGTAATCTTAAATTCGAGTGCACAGTGTAAGCTCGACAAGATTTACTAAGAGAAACGCCAGCACCTCATGCCTGCCTGCGTTAAGGAGTACAACGATGCGGTTCTAGCTTCTTAACTTGCAATTAAAAATAATAAATTAATGAAATATTTGACCATTCAAGTTTCATGTTCGAACAACATTACCCTGAAGAAGCAAAAATTATCACACATTTTGAAATAAATACTACATACAAGAAGTGTGTATGCGCTATGTTTTTGCCAGCTGAATTTTCCTAATAATACATTTTTTTTTAACTAATATTTAGTAGCCTTTGCTAGATTGAATAACATAAAACTGCGAGATTGCGAGTATAGCCGATAAAGAAGTAAGGGCGCGGAAAAACTATTTCAAAGTCGTTCAAACAATATCCAATTTTATATATAAATATTGATTCAGTTACCTTTTGCCAATTTTCTCTATGGAATCCCATACGCGTAATTGATTTTGAGGTCAAGATCCACATTTTCAGAAATGTAAAAACTGAAAAAGAATTTTGAGCACCCTAATATACAACGCATTCGATAAGTCCCGGGCAGGAATAGCACGGTTGAATTCTTTGTGAAAAATTAGGAAATAAGTGTTTTTGTATAATAACATTTTCAAATCAAAATTCGAAGATAATTAGTATTAAAGCTAGTGTTCATTGGAAACAAAACACGTGACTGCCGATAAATACCACACATTAGACTTGACTCATCTCCAGTGGTGCTCATTCAGCGATCTGGACTTCCCATGCTTAGTCCAAATCAAACGCACTCCTCAAAGCATGGTCCTGCCATTCCAAAACGTGTTGGATGTAAAATTTCCAGAAAAATGGATAGGTCGTAGTGGACCAGTACCTCAGCCACCATGATCGCCAGATCTCAATCTCGAGATTTTTTCTCGTTGGGGAAACGCTGAAAGGTTAATACATTACATAAAAACACTGGAATACAAACTTAGTACTGTAATCCGATGAATGAACATAGGACTTTAACAGAGTCTGGCTTATCAACAGAGATCTGCTACGATGGAGGAGTTGATTAGAAGAATTCACAGCTCAATGGCCAAATCAATGGCAGTATGGATATCTTAAATTGAAGATATGAGAATCTTTTAGAACGTCAGGAGCCAATGAAAGACGTCCATATATAAGCCATTTTAAATATTTGGCGCCGTTTTTAACATCGGGTGTGTTTTTACCGACAATATCAAGTGACATCTTCCTATTACGTTATACTTCGTTTGACAGTGATAGATAGTAATATTATCGGATAAAGAAGCTAATATTAGATACCAACCAATTCAAAGATAATACTCCTAGAATTCCGTTACGAACATTTTAGTTTAATGTTCTTTCGTGAAATCTACTCGGCATACTAGTTGTACATACACTTCGAATTAATTAGCTGACAGGTAAGATTTCAGAACTTTCATGACGTATACATATACATATACATATATACATATTCATACGTGTAGTTATTACCCACCTGGATAGACTTGTATGAATGCTGGATCGTTTTAGCAAGGTCGTGTGTCTTATGAGTACTCACCTGACACTGTCAGGTGTAACGTGTGCGGCGTAATCTACAGCCTGAGCGGCCAGGCATCTCCGATACCGTCCGGTCTCGTTCGCGCATCCATTTGCATTTGTCGATTTTACGTGTCCCCTAAAAATCGGTAAGACCCGTTATGCTACTGTTCGTTTTGATAGGTGCCATCAGAGTTCTTGTTTCGCTAAAGTTTAGGCAGTTTCACCTCAATACCCAGAACATACCGGCTGGTCAGTTTCCGGGGAAACTTGAATTGGTTGGAGCCCGCCTGGCATGCGGATGTATGGGCGAAGGATGAATGGCTGAAGGTTACGTAGGTTACCTGTCGGATTCGCGTTATTTCTGTCGGGTTGAGAAAATAAGTCACTATATATTCATTTATTATGATCACTATTATCAACATTGACTTTTATTATTATTTGTTTATTTGCATTTAGGTATGTATACCTATAATAAAGGGATTGGGTAGAGTTATAGCTTATACAAACATATCATATAGTATACATAAGCCCGTATTCAGAACTCGCTTTTAGTGCTAATAGTACGCTTTTAAATTTTTTCTTAGTGACTTTTAACTACAAGCGACTCTGATAGTGACTTTAAGAGCGAGTTGTGAATACGGACTTATGTCTTAAACTTAGGCTCAACTTATAAAACAGGCCGCTAATACATATAAAGCTACTTCTTTCATTTTTTTCATTATCTGTACTTTCCAACACATCAGGGAGCTGCACTCCTCGTAAATACTGTGCACGGATAGGCTCATAACTTGGGTATTGTATTGATAAACTTATGTTTGAGAGTGTCAGATTTTTGTTAATCCCAGACTAGACACATCTGACCAGTTTTCAGCTTATGACTGTACTTCTTATATCTAAACGTTGTCTCATTTAGCCGAACAAGTCTACATTGGACGATTAATCTAACGAACGGTAGTGGCAATATTTGTTCTGAGGTAATCTTCGGTTTTGAGCTCGTTTAGTTGTTTCATCTCTTTATAGCGAGCCGAATATGTCGAACGTAAGGTTCTAACTGTGTCCGACTGGAATTGTTTCTTCACGATAGTTTACAAAAGCGGGTTAATGTGCTCTGTAGGTGAGGCTGGAGTTATGTTGTCTAATTCATCTGCATCTACTTTATTGTGCAGAATTGCTATGAAGTGCGAGATCACCATTAACTAATAACATAGTATCTGTGATATATTTAACACCATATGTAGTAACTGTTAAAACCATGTCTCTACGTTGTACTTGTCGGGGGTTATTTCGTACCCTAGATAGGGTTAGAAATACTAGTAATGTTATTATAATTCCTTCAAATATTCAGTTAACTGTAGTAATATTACTTTTGTTTTTTTTAAAGGAAAATTTTTTTAATAGAATAAGATTTATCCCACATATCACATAGACGTCCATTGGTACGGGTACATACCACGGGTATGGTATATTACATAACTCTATACATATTTCTGTAATATACACCTAATAAACATTTCGATATCAGTTAACGTATATAATTGTATTCTCGAAACTCAAGCTGGTAATATCGAGCGATCAAATTGATCAGTAGTGTTATTAGTCAGTTGTAACCATGACCTGATTTATACTAAGTAATCCATATTTCAGACATAGACACTCATCGTACACAACTATAACGTAGTGATCAAAATGGAGAAGAAGTATAAATATCTGGAAATCCCTACAAAAAATCCTGATGAGGATGACAAAGAGACAGCTTCGTTTAAGTTGGCCACTTCGTTGCCACTATCCCGATCATATCCCGCTTCTCCGTCTCCTGCAGAATCTCTGGAAATGATGGGCGGTCCTCCCCTTAGACGTAGGTTGGAAAGACGACGTATGAGACTCAACATGGAACTAATAGAAGCAATTGTTCACAACCAATTGGACGAAGTAAAACGGTGAAACTACATTTTTTTACGTTTACTTATTATTTTATTATTGTTAAAAATTGTTAGCTACTCATTAATAGATATAAACTACAGGTTACTTGAAAATGGTGCCAATGCCAATTCTACATGTAAACAATCCAGAATATCGTGCTGTCATATTGCAAGTTTCCTCGGCTATACGGAAATCCTTGGCGTCCTCTTGGACAATAAAGCACAGCTTGGAGCAAAGGATGCAATGGGACGAACTCCGCTTCATCTCACAGCCTGGGAAGGTAATCCTGACTGTCTAAAGCTTCTTCTATCGCATGCTCCGCACTTGGTCAATGTCAAAACCGAGGAGATTTTCGTCAAGGAGAAGATTCCGATAGAGTGGTTAGACTCTTGGGAACACGATCATCAATCTGTTACCAACATGGTTCGTATTATTCATATAGGTATTTGACATTTTATCATACTTACTTGGATATTAATTTCCATAATTAAAAATTATGAATGTTATCAAAATGTTTTTGCTATTCTTGTCATAATTCAAATTTTAGAATTTATCACTTGCTCGAAGAAATCATGCAACGATAATGTAAGATTACTGGAACAATCTTTTTTTCGAATAGTAAGGTAAACGGCCCAGTTAGTGATACTTTAAGAGCGGCCGTCTCGGATTTTTGTTATTTATTTACGCGTGATATAGCCAAACTGAAAACTAAAGATTTCAACACGCGCGTTAAAGCCTTCCGAATGAGATTCACCTATTATACAAGTGAAACAATTAAGGTTTATTAATAAAATTATTGTTTTAATAGCGCTTCTCTGCAACCTCGAGAAACATCCATGTCGTAGTTTGTGATCCCTGCGTGTACCCAATTTGTGACATCCTTGGAGCAATTTATGTCGCCTGTGTACCCACTCTCTGACACTTCCGAATATCCCCATACAAACAAGTGCAAAGAAAATGCTTTTTAATTAGCCGGTAATTGAATTACTATTATAGAAACAAAGGACTCATTATATTAAATATTATGGATAATATCAAGTGCCTATACGTGAGCCGTCACTGTTATAGAAAAAGGTAATTCGAAATACTGAGATATTGGAAATTGTGATTCAGAGCATTTGGACATATTTTGGGGTCTTCACATTTTTGTTGTGCATAATTTGTTGTGATGGAGAGCACGCACATCGAATTAATTCAGTTTTTCCGTCTATAAACACGTCGACCGATAATCAGACCTTTTGAAGACGTCATGACTACATCTTGGTACTGTGTGCTATCTGGGTGACTATCGTGTGAAGGATCGCAAGTTCGTGGGTCACAGTATCGCGGGCTGTCTCGATCCGTAGGGGAATTTGCTAGAAATTCACATCACGTTATAAATATATTTTATACATTCCATATTGATATTTTCCATTGCAGCTTCCGAAGATAGAATATGGAAGTACTCCTTTACATGTGGCTTGCAAACGTACTGAACTAATATGCGTACAACATCTTCTCGATGCTGGTGCAGATTTGGAAATAACGGACAGTCGTGGTTTACGGCCCCTTGATGTTGTGGGAGAAAATCTGATAGAGTATCGTGAGGAAGGAGACGTGGAGTTCAGGTATAGTAAAGAATGGCCAATATTTTTGTACCAATTGAATCCTAGCAAATTACACATTTTGTACGTCAAGTCGTTCCTACAATTTTATGGATTGCAATATAACTGTAGGAGAGCCGAAGAGTAGGGTAAACAATGACCGATATGGTTTTGGGTTCTTCCTTTCCTTATGGCTGTGTCCCCAATGAGGAATATGTCAGTAACTGGCTCTAATAACCAAGATTCGAAGTTCGACACTGGATGCCGATGTACCTTGCGAGACGGGTCTTATGCAATTGAGCGTGAGGACCTACAGAGTTTATATACCAAATCCGAACAGTGTTGGGCGAAATTTTAATATGAAAACCCATTGATGAATACCGCTGGGAGCCGGGAATCCGCTACCCTATCCATTGGGCTACGGCATAATTATAAAGAAAAAATCATTCTTTTTTACAGATTTCCCGAAGTTATCAAGGCCTTAATAAAAGCTGGAGCGCAACACTATCTCTCGAGTGAATATGATCATCATGGATATCGAGTGACTCCTCTTCACACAGCCGTCGAATTAGAATCAGAAGAAGCAATCTCGGTTTTACTTGAAGCAAACTTTCCGCGTGGAGTGTGGAATGCCAATGGAGAAACGCCAATGCATGTGTGCATACTCAAAAAAATATCCACCCCCTTGAAATTACTCCTAAATATTGTGAACAACGAAATACCTCAAAATTACCTGGACCCAGAGAATTACAAGGGTATGACTCCGTTGCAAACGGCTGTTCGAGAAAATTGGGTACCTGGTGTAAGCATTATTTTGGAAGCTGGTGCGGACGTAACGCTCACGTCGAGGGACGGTTACACGGCTCTGCATCTTGCGGCCGTTGATGGAAATGTGAAAATAGTACAAGAAATACTTAGCATTCCAGATGCGCAGGGGGTAAGTTGTTCTTTCACGTTTTTAGTTATAACCTTGTTGTGATGCATTTTTTTAACTCGACACCGACAACGAGAATCCGAGATCTAACTTACGCCACCTTCGGCCGTCCACACTTCGTCTATGCATCCGGATGCCAGGCGAGCGTCAGCCAATTCGTATTTCAATGGAAACTGACGAGCTAGTGTGTCCTAGGAGTTGAGGTGGAATTGCTTCGAATCCGCCAAAACGGAAACTATGACGGAATCTATTAGAATGGACGGTAGCGTAATGGATCCTATCAAAGTTTGGGGTCGCGTGTAATTGACAACCGTAACTAGATGCGCGAACGGGAGCAGACGATACCGGAAATGTACGGTCGCTCAGTTTGTAAAATCGCAATATTCACTTTTTCTATCACAGTGCGAATGTTTCAGAGCGAATGTCCAAATTACTGAATTTAAACGTTTATTATTGTTTCGGGTGAAAGATCCAAGGCATCGCTTCAATAAATAGGTAGGTACGGCTTCATCTGGTTAGGTAGGAAAACATTATCCGGCGCTCGACCAATTAGTTCGACGTACTATATTGGGCCACGTCCGCTAAATATTCATAGCTCGGTCTATTTGACGAAATTCATGTAAAAATTTTAAGGACAAATTTTCAAGATCCCAAAATACAAGAATATACAAAAAATCAATTTTCTTGACCGGCCACAGTAGAATACTGCCTCAATTAAAAAGTCTACTTTGAGAAGCAGCGATCGGGTCTACGCAGAGCTCCTCATACGACCTCTTGAAAAGAAGGAAATCATTTGGATTTAATAACCAAAGGAAACCCAAACGTTTTAGTTAAAAAGTTACAGGCTTCCAAATTTTTGTAAAAATGTAAGGTGCTGAACACAACCCAAATGGAAGGAAAGAAAATTCAGGTAGCTCCACGTCAAATTCGAATCTTAAAAACTTCCTAGTTACCTCATCAACTGATATACGGTAGTATGCATTTTAAAGGTCTAAGGTTATTGCCGTAAATCAATTAGGATTCAACATATTGACTGCAGTCCTATAGTCTTCTAACTTAAAATCTTCAATTTGCACAAACTTATTTAACATCTTTAGGGTTATTAGAAAAAAGTACCAGAGAAAGGTTCGCACTTTGACCACTGACTGATTGAGAGAGCCGTGGATAAACTTCTGGATCAAAATGAATCTCATTAGAAGTAGCCGATAACTTAAATCTTTCTGGATTACCGTCCGCTTACATATTATATCCTATTTTTGTATTTCTTAAATTTCGAGCAGTTTCTAATTCCGAGTATGGCATGTAAATGCAGACGGCGGAAAGTAATAATTGTATGTACGTATGATGAAACTTTGAAAGGCACTTCGAAAAGAAAAATTAAAGAGTATCAATGTCAATATACCAAGAAGAAAGAAGAACTATAAAAATTTCAATTTATTCCTACCCGGAGCAGATTAGACACATCTTTCTCTGATGTTCGTTGCAAACTGCGTGAGAATCTTCATGGATAAATGGCTCCGGTCAACATCGATTTTGACACCAAGGCTAACATTGATGAGCAGATCTCTACGGCACCGATTAATCTCAGTAATGCAGATATCCACGTTGACTACTCCCCAGATAATAACTCGAGAGACAACTATGCTGGTAACGGACAAAGTGTCGAAACAACTCCAAAACAGCCGCCCTGTAAGGTATCATCGAAGGAACCACGCTGTTCTACGTCTAAACCAAGAGGGAAACAAAACGATCTACACTAGAGGGATATCAAAAAGGAGATCAGCGAAGAGATAGCTAGCAACGCATGAGAGCAAGCAAGCTTTAAACAAGTGAAGAAGAACTCACTGCAAAGCTTATAAGTTAATAACAATGGAACATAAGATCAAAGAACTGAATCTAAAGGCTGAACTATATAATCTCACGCCCAGGGTCGAAAATCTCGAAGTTTACAAAGTTAATAGTCATAATACAACTGATCCAAGAATAATGTGAAAACACGAAGATCTGAAGAAGAAAGCATATGAGCAAGAAAGAGAATTCAAAAAAGGATTATGACGTAATTAATCCTGAAATGTTATGTTTATATTTTTTTACACAATTAGTATTTTATTTATATTTTTTTACCAAATTTACTGGTATCTATTTTGAGACTTTATGCATTAACAGATACTAAAATATTTAAAATTCTTAAACATGAAAAATAAAAAAAATAATTTTTTTTCGGTTGTCACAAAGAGAAACCTTGCACTCAACGAACAAAAAACTATTGTAATTTCAACTTTCTACAATTCTATAGGTACAAAAAGTTTTGATGTAGCCAATTTTATCACTGCGAATATCTTCTGAAGACGTAATCTGTGTCCCAGCTCTGGCTATGTAAGGCATGTTACTTTCAGATCAGCTTGGACTTGGCTGTCCTCTTTTATTTTCCTGATAGCTTTCATAGCTGCATAAAGAATCAGCTGAAGTCGTTTAGAAGTCAACTGACTTCAAAATATTTTATGTAACTCATCCACGAAAAACACTACTTTTCGTGCCTCCGAAGTGTGGCGAAAGTGGCGCTTTATATCTATCGATATGATAAAAATGCTGCGCATGCGCAAATCGGCCCAATTTTACATTATCGCACTAGTGCTTTCTTCTCGCACTAGTGCGATAAAGTAAACTTTGTTCTCGCGCGCTGTCATGAAATTCATTCACTTTGGAAGCCTTCCTTGCTCTTCTTATGGCTGCCTCCTCCAACGAAGAGATGTTCCAGTCACTTTGGAGGCACAAAAAGTAGCGTTTTTCATGCATTGGTTACAGAAAATATTATGCGATACTGGTACAATAAAGCGAACATTATACGCAGTTCGTGAAGTTTGTCACACTCGCCGCACTCGTAAAACAAACAGCACTCGCCTTCGGCTCGTGCCGTTGTGTTACTCGTGTGCGACTCATGCGACCAACTTCACCGCCTGCCTATAAACTTCGCTTTCTCGCACTTGTATCGCAAAGTACTATTTCGAGATTTCACCTCTTTTAAAAATTGGTCTAGAGTTAGTTGCACTTCAGCCTCCACCAAAGACAGATCAGTGTACGAACATCACCACAATCAGATTCTTATTTCAAGTTGGTTGTTAAATCTAAATCAGTTGGCGGAGTTCCTGTTGTTCCAGTTGTACGGTTTCCTTTGACTCTTCCTTTTGAAGATCAAGTTGCAACTCATTCTGATTAGAACAATAATCGATTATGTCTTCATCGAATTCTATGTCGTCTCCCGATATCTCGCCATATTTTTAGTTCCACAATATCTTTTCAATATTCTGCTCTCTAATTTTTTTCTTGATATTATCCGTGATAAGCATAAAACAGCCATGCAAAATAACCCAAAACCAAATAAGAGTATGCATGCCCAGAAAATAAAAAAAAAAACTCAATACCGGTGATGCATCAAATATTAGAATACAGAAGGAAAAAATGCCGGTAATGAATGCAGTATCATTTTTTATGTACCTCAAAAATCGCATATTAGAGACTGACAGTTCACACAAAAATATGTAAATCATCTTGACTATCAATCAATCATCAAGACTATAAAAAAAAAAATGTTTCAAACACCGTAGATTTCGTATCAGTTCTATCTATTAAATCGATGTTTGCACAAAAGTTACTGCTGATGTTGCTTGCTTGAGAATTACCGTAGTCTAAGTGGTCTGATTGGCGATTCCCAGAAAATAAAAATTGTGTTTTTTTTTAGGTCTTGAGCTAAACTTGGTATGGGGTCTTAGAACTTCCCTTAGAATTGTACAAAATGTAGGTGATAAATAACTGTATATATTTCTGAGTAACGAAATCATTCTTTGGTCTAGGATTAGTTGCTGGTAAAAAGGCGGTAGCGAAAACTTAAGTAGTCTCGTTCTCTGTCCTTGTAGTTCTCTCTGCAGCTACAGCTGATTCTTTGGGTGGGGTGCTTAAGCTTTACGATAGTGTTACAAAGTTCACCCTACTATACACTGCACTGAATGAGGACTAAGGAATGAAAGTTGCCTCTCCAAGATCTGGTTTAGACAACTAACTGTCTGGTTTTGCACAACTAACTAGTTTTGAACATACTAAAGATAAGTACAACTAGGTCTGTCAGGTGAAAAGCGTGTTGGGGTATGATTTTTATGAAGAACTTATGAACATTCTAAATGGCGAACTGTTGTTGCGAAAACAGCCCGAGATTCTTGAGAACTTCGCGTTCCGTCTCGAGCACGGAGATTTTCAAAATCACTATCGATCCGAATCTTGCCAACTTACGTCGGCACCCTCAGCACCCGACGACAAAATTTCTATCTGCTAAAAGGACTGTTAGAATTCATCAGAGACAAGGCGCAAGTGCGATGAGCCTCTCGTTGATCTAAACGTTTCATTATTGGAAGCGATCTGTACCAAACTGATCTAACGCAAATCTGCACTTTATGCAACCTCAACGATCTTGAATCTATGGAGCATATATTACTCCACAGTCCAATGTATGCGAGCGAAGCCACATGAAAATTTGATATTTATTTTAGCTCTAAACAACAGTCTAAGCCTAGAAGCACTATATTTCTCTATGCTCAACTGTTTAAGTGTAAAACGTGGTGATGTGCATAGATACCTTTTGCAAAATTTTGTTACTCATTTCGTTCCTGTAGTCCCTTAAATAATTATAAAAATATATATAAAATTGCTTGTTCAATAAATGGTTTCCGATGGATTATGAATGTAATTTTTTGTGTTAACAGATTATCGAAGTGCAGAACCAGTTGGGAGAAACACCGTTATTTTGTGCTATCAGCAGCCGCAATAGTGAATGTGTTACAGAACTGCTCAATTTTGGATGTAATCTAAAGTACAGAATGCCAGGAAATATAACAGTGTTTCATAGAGCCGCAGAGTATGGGTTAAATGAAATTTTGACTATATTATTGCAAAAGGATAGTAATATTACGACGAGGTTGATAAACGTGAAGGATGAACTAAAGATGTCCGGCATGACGCCAATGCATATGGCTGCTCAGGTCAGTATCTATGCGTATTAATAATAAAATAGCTAATACCGATTGCGTAACTACATATCTTGTAAAGAGTATACATACGAAATAACGAAACTTTACATTTAGTATTTCAGAATTATTGAACACCTATTGAAACAAGTGATTGAATCTTTGGAGAATTTTGTGACATTAATTTTTTCATTTTTATTTTATAATTTGAACGTGTTTCTTTTTGTTTCTTTTTCAAATTATTATTTAACTTTAATTTTTATTTCAGATGCAATGCATTATCTTTTACTGAGGGATTTTATTCTCTTTATGGTAAAAAGCTTTTGAAAGAATGTTATTCAATTTGTTTACGATCTAAGTGACATCGACATTGTATATACATTTCTAGGGATATGGGCTGGATAATGTTGTTGTCTTTAGCTCATTTAAATTGTAGGCCTTTTTATGAAACACTTTTAAAATCCATTAATTTATACTATCAAAAGTTGGATTATGATTATTTTAACATAAAAATATTTTTATACGAAATCAAAGCCTTTTAGCAACGTGTTATTCGTTATAGGGTACTGTCTTGCATAAATGAAATAAACTCCCAGTATGATTTATCTGTAATGTATGGATGTTCTCACAACCCATACTTTCTGAGACAAGCATTCGACCCATACTTGTATTTTCACATTTTTCCCATATTTTTTTTCCCCCGCGGCAATGAGTCTCACTTTGCAGCAAAGTATTCGTGACTAACAAATCCAATAAGAACTATATTCGAAATGGTAATTTTTACTACCTTCTAAATAATCTACACTATTTCACTCTGTTCGTCGCTCATTTTCTATGTTACCTAAAACTTGCTTCTACCCAGACTAGTAATCATTAATGTTTTCTGTTATCTATGTCGGTTGTTTCTGGATTACTTGATTATTGTTTTATCTTCTCTTAGTTCTTAGCTATTGTAGCTGTCAATAAACCAAAGTTTTAATATACTCAATTCAGACTATCAGAAATACGTATCAATGGATGTCGTAATCAAATTGAACTACGTGTCTGAAACGATAATCATCGCATATAGATCATAACGACATTCTTTATACTCTGGATGAATATTGAATTGAATGATTATTAATTTCTACGATTATATAGGTGGGAAATGCAGAATGCGTGGAGACGCTAATACAATCAGGGGCAGATGCAACTGCAAGAACGACAAACGAGCCACATTACAATTCAACTGCATTGCATCTTGCAGCCACACTGAATCATTTTGACGTGGTGGAAGTTCTTCTTAAACATGATGTGGATCTAATTAATCTTCAGGATCTTCACGAATGGATGCCGCTACATGTAGCATGCTACCATTGCAGTAGAGAGTGCATTAGGTTACTCGTTAATGCAGGTTCTGATCTTTCGGCTGTAGCTTTGGATCAGGAACGGCGTCGACGTACAGCCATTGATTTTCTGGTTTACAATGTTCCGAGGCCTGTGGAATTTTTAGAGAGTATTTTCGATTCTGCCATCAATATTAATGAATACACCATCAATGAGCAGAATTGTTTAGTAACCGTCGATTATCAAGTAAGTTTTTAGCTGCCACCATGTTGAAGTTTGTAAACATCATCTCAAAAAAACTGTGTATGGACCCATCTTCTCAAAAAAAAAAGGATGAGCCTGGATAAGCCTTTATTAAGGTGTTTCGATAATGATAATCGTCGTAGTAATAGAGAATTAGGGCCAAACAGGCAGTAAAAAAAATGCCAAGTTTTTGATTAAAATATAAATGAATCAAAGTATAAAATAATTTTTGCATCCGAGTCTAAAATCATTACGTTTTACCGTACGCAAATAAAGATATTGACAGTATTGAGATAACAAAATAACATTTATCAACAACAGATATTTACGGTTTCATAACATGGTATACGAAACATTTTCTTGCAATTGCAACTTCATTATATGTAATCTTACGGCTGTTCACGTGGTCGCATTTTAATCTCATTATAAATTTTGTTGTTTAGATATTTTCCTTAAAATCATATTTGCTAAGAACTTCAGCTACTCTTCCATATCTAAGATTAATACATCTTAATGTTCACGGCAAGGTTCATACCACTTTGAAAGTACCGGTTCTCGTCCGATCACCGAAGTCAAGCAAAGTTGGGCGCGGTCAGTACTTGGATGGGTGACCGCTTGGGAACACCGCGTAACCTTGCTCACAAAGAAAAATAATCTTTTGGACATTTACGTCTGCGCATTTTGTAAAATTAATTTTGAATATTCAAAGATTTTTTATTTCATCTGCTTTTAGGCATGATCTCTTTAGACATCGGGGAGTGATTTATGTATTTATCTTCTCAAAAGAAAGTCTGAGAAAAAATTTGTGTCGATACGACAAAACAGTTCGATTGAGCCTATATGTATATGCTAATTTTTTTGTTACTGATATGTTTATATAACAACAAGTATATCCGTAACAAACAAATTTTTTAATTTCAAGTAAAGACTTTTATAGAATTCGATAATTTGAACCATATATACTATAGTTCGATGAACGAAAACAAATACAGAATGATTCAATCGAATTGTTTTGCTGCTTTAATCCAATTTTTTTATCGGTGTATACCTTATAATTACAATTTCATTTTTTTAGAAACGCCGATTTCACAATCCTCCCTCCTCCCCCCGCGCTAAAAAAAGGTTCAACTATTAATGATTATCGCTTTTTCTTTTATAATCATCGAATCTCGGTAATCTATATTGTTCGCAAATATAAACCTAGTCGCCCAGTAATATCTTTTTGCGCTTCCCTAAAATTGGAAAAATTTAACTTATCTAGAACCATTGTTTCGATGAAATTTACGCTTTAAAAAATTAATTTCATCTCCTTCGTCATATTAAACTTTTTTTATTTTAAATCAGCGAAATTTCAGACGTCAGAGTATTAAAAATTTTTATATTTCGCATGTCCAGAATTTTATTGCTCTCCTCAAACTTTATGGCACGCCCTGTCTCGCCACAACGACATTGTGGCTAGCTACGGTCTTAGATTGTACATTTAACAGTGTCCTTTCATTCAGTACGTTATGATTAAGATAATAATTGTAATTTACAGGTACTTGCACCTCGTGGTCGGGGTATGGAGCAAATGCATGTAATAAATTCGTTGATGAATACTGGAAATCAATTTGGGCAGAAGCGACTTTTAATTCATCCGCTGATCGAGAGCTTCTTATGTTTGAAATGGCGAACACTCAGCCCTATATTTATGGTGACTTTAGCTATATATGCAGTTTTCGTTGTTGCTACGACTCAACTCATCACAGGAATTTATTACTATCAAGACAACGGCGAACAACCTCCGATTGTCCTTGACGTAGAAATCAACACATACATAATGCTTGTCAGTTTATTTCCCATCGTCATTCAGGTAATTTATTAATAATATAATAAGATAAACTTTTTTATGAGTGTTATGAGTGTTAGTGATGCACATACGTATGTATATACAGGGTGTCCCATTTTAACTTGGCCAGTGCAATATCTCGAAAACACGAAGTTTTCGGAAAAAATATTGGAGAAAAAGATTGTCGGGCTCGAAAGGGGACTATCTAGTGAGATACCTGAATATGTGGCATGAGGCCTGTCTATTTTTTAAATTAGAACCCCTATTTTTTATTGCAGATTCGGGTTATATGAAAAAAAAAACAAGTTTTGTTCTTCATCATTTTTCGATAAACCCTCTGCAACAGACGCAAAAGGCTCTCGAAGTTGAATTTTGAGATACGTTACAAATTCCGTTTTTTTGTTAGTTATAATAGTAATATGGACTGGCCATTTGATAATCTGAATTAATGTTGGGCCTCGAGATTGTTTTGGGCTTAATCAGTCCCAAAATTCATTAAACGATTTTTAAATTGATATTAAAATCATTTAAAAAAATGAGAATCCTGGCGCGTCTTGAGGTCAATCACGCGTGAATTACGTGTTATAGACATCCTTTTTTTGTTTTCCACCGATCTCTTATCGTACAAAGATTTGTGAATAGTATACATATTGTGCAATTAGGGAGAAATAGTGGAACACAAATATTCTGGAATTGTGAGAGGCAAGGGGAGTCACAAAACCAATCAACTTAAAATTGTAAACATGTGACTTTTACATTATCCAGGATTTAATGCTATGCTAACTTGAGAAAATAAAAAATCTTGTAACGGATCTAGAAACAAACCTTTTGGTTAGATATAAGGAATAAAGAAATAATAATAAAATTACAAATTTAACTTATGGGCCGAAATTGTCCAGAGTCAAACTCTTCATATACAATATAACGTAACAACGTAAGACGTAAGCGTAAGGAAACCAACCAATCAGAATCTAGTACTCTCCCCTCCAAGGGAACAGGGCTTTACGAATTCAATAGATGAATGCCAATTGTCTTCTGTCATATTGGGGCTTCAATGTCGTATCGGTTATATAAGCCGCAGAATGGTTTGGGTTGGTATGCTATATCTCTTCTCTTTTGGGGAAAGAAGAAAGGAATGGTTGCCTCTCAGGCAATAGAGGTATGCGTTATATAAATAGTTATTGCGGACATCTGTAAAGTATACTGTAGCTGTATCCTCAGTACGAAATGGATTTTTCAAACTAAGGAGCTGCACGATGATGTTATCACGCCTTGTGCGAGTATGTTTCAGTGGTTTCCGAATTGACCATATTTATCTATTCGTACCATATGCATCGTTTAAATGTTCAGCTGTTTTAGTAACATTGCTTTCCGATTGAATCTCCTCTTCGCCGGAACGGTCCGTATTAATCGCCAATTCTTTCTCGTCACTTCGTTGGAGGCAACGATGCAATACGGACGCGTGTAGTTGAGGGTTAACTAAAAGCTAGATTAATATACAATAATATTTCGATTCCATTTAGCTGTGACTATTTTCATTTCATTCGAGAATTAATTGGGTATGCAATAATAAAAACTGCCGGAAGCCGATAATAGATTGTCGAAAACTAGTTTGAAAACCAATCGGATACTTGTAAACTTTTTATTTTTTAGTTTAAATGAAAGTTTACACATAAAATAATCAATGCATAAAAGATATTTCTTAATATTGAAAAAACTTAAACTCATTCAGTTATATTCCATAATAAAACATAAATCTGTATGCAAAGTTTTTTCTCGTATGTCCCTAGTGCGATTACTTGACCAAATTTACAAATTTTCTCATACGACGTAACTTGCGATTCTACCAAATCTCGCAGGAGATAAATTCTGTCTATTTAGGGCCGACGTGGCCATCTTATCGTTAGTGTCTGCCCTTCTCCAGAATTTTAGCGTGTTTAGTGGTCCCCAAAGGTCTTACACATTAAGCTAAGTAACTTGGCTCCTATTGTACTCAAGGATTTCATTTACTAGAAATTCGCCAAAACACGTCTTCATTCCCGTACTCAACCCTTCATCAGCTTATTATGAATATACATCTTTCTGCAAGGCACAGCGAGGAATGTACCGCTGATCTCTTATTAATTAGGGCCAATTCTTTACAATCATAAATACATAAGATTAAACGTATTATTTACTCATTGCACATATATTATTATCGCTGAAGAATTTCTTATCGAGTACTATTTGGCGGGGCCGTGCCTCGAGACACTTAATGAACAATGATATCGATGTGAAAATTAATAGAAATATACGCATATTGCTTTGCGTTGTACATCGTTACGTTATCCCAAGAACCGAAATCTTTCTCAAATATGACCGATACACTCCTACTTAACCTCAAATAAAATTCTATGAAGTCTCTTGAAGCCAGACATACCTTTGTATCACGGGAAGATATGCTAATTCAGAAATAATAAAAAAGACGATGACACGTGATACAAAAGAGATATGAAATTTGTCAAAATTTAAAACGCTATTCCCAGAACCGACAGAGCTAGATTAATAATTTACACACCTACGAAATTATAGCTCGATCGCAATACTGGAATACGCGCATGACAGATATTACGAAAAAACTACACGACGTCCTGAAAGAGTAGCGAAGACGTTATAGAAAATTTTGAAAATTCAAATTAATATAGTGAACTATTGTTAGATCATACAATAAGCAGATTTTTACCGACTTATGCAGTTGGCATTATAATGTGATTTCAATATTTTTTATTAGGGGACTTCATAGCAATAATAATAAGTAATTCTAAATACATGGCGAGCTTTTTTACACAAAAGTGTTTTTGTTAAATTACAAATACCCTACTGCATGAACGTACGAGAAGGATGCCTGACTCTTAGGCTTCGAAAGCTGTAACGAGGATTTTCTAGATCTCAAAAACTATGATGAAAAACTTGTAGACTCCGAAAACTATCATGATGTAACCATGTACTCTGAAAATTATAACGAGGATGTCCTATATCCCGAAAACTGTGACTATTTATCCCTGGACTCCGAAATTTGTAAATTGAACGCGATATTTTATCTATGAGCAGTCTGAATCGACGCTGACCATCCAATGATTGCAAGCTTCAAAGTTAAATATCTTGAAGTCTATGTCCAAAAAATGCTAAATGTTTGAAAACGTGTCTTTTTACTTTTTATGAAGAATTCAACTGCATTAGTGAACACATTGCATGTAGTATGCTTATATTATATTTAGAAAATAATAAAGTCGTATAAATAATTCTGTACTTACAATGTTTGTAACGTGGCTATTGCAACGTTTTTTAAAATCAAAAATTTTTACTCCTTTTTACTGTTGTTATGTAATAGAAGAGTAAGAACTAAAACAACTTTTCTATGTACCCTGTATAATCATTTAATAAAATTTTCTTTTTTTCAGGAACTTCTCCACGCGAACCAGAGGTCATGGGGTTACATTCAAGAGCTGGAATCTTGGGTAAAATGGGGTTCGTTAATCTTTTCTACGATGGTGGTATTTTTGGATCATGGACCTACAAGAGAATTAACTCGCCACATAGCTGCAGTTGCTGTTCTTCTCGTTTGGACAGAGCTTATGTTTTTACTATCACGCTTTCCAGAATGGGGTTATTACGTGCTTATGTTCTCTAAAGTGGCCATCAATATCATCAAGGTACTTTTGTCAAAATCAATTTCTACTTATTGAACTAACTTGCTATTTAAATTTTTTATACAGTAACACTCTTCTTTGTAATTATATCGCGTATTTAATGCCGGAAGGGCAAACGCGTAAAAAAATTTAGTAAGGATGCGCCCCTAGAATATCATAAAAAGCCCCATAAAACCAATAAGACGTATTATATGAGGTCCTTACATTTTTCGCTATTGAAAACAACATTGGTGCAACCAAAATATTCCCATCAAAAAGGCGTATGCACTGTAAAGACAATTGTTCTTTCAACCTACTGTTTACAAATAAATGACACCCTGTGTAAAATATAATAAATCGCGTGACGCATGAAATCGACGCCAGGTCTAATCGGAATAATCTATAGATAATAAATATCTACTAAACTGTTTCTGAATATCATCCAGGCTAGCGCTTCTTCAGTGATCTCATAAATTAGAATACACCGAAACTAAAAAATATGAAAAAATGAAAAGGCTGCGAAGTAAAATTACTAAAATTATTACACCAGACAAAAAACTATCGGAAATGAAATCTACAGACGGATTCGATTTATTTTAGAAAAGAATTAATAATCATAATTACAAACAAAGGCAACAATGAAGTTAAATAATAGATCAAGATTTTTACTTTTTGCGCAAGCTTGATCACTGAATAACTTTTCGGTATAACAATTTCTTTTAATGTTACCCTGATCTGTATTATACACCTAATACAACAAAAAGATCGAAGTAGAATGAACTGTCAATTTGCATGCCTTAGGGTCGCTACCCTGTTTAGAATCTCGGGTTGATTCGTATAGTTACGCCAATGCTCTCGAATGATTTCGTTATTGTTGAGTTGAGGTCGAGGTGCTCGAATCTGCCGTGCGGAGATAGTCTCGACGTATCGAGTTGCCCGGCAGAGGAGGCGGCTTGTGGATGCACGAGCGAAGGGTGGACGACCGAAGGTAACGTAGGTTTCTTCTCGGATTTTTGTTATCGGCGTCGATATAAGAAAATACGTTACAACGTATATTCAGTGCCATGCAATTTTTTGTTTCGCCTGACATAATGAAACTCGGCGGCTGACCATAGATAAACTTCTAATTAAACTTTCCGAAAAGCTTCCTGATTTTATGAAATTTAATCAATAACATAAGCGTGCGATAAAAGAACACGTAGTTAAGAACGCTTGCTGCAATATTAAATCTCACGCGAATCTCAATTATTTAAAATCATGTCAAAGTGCAGACGAAATCATTTCCTGCATCATATATTTTTTGTTCGTACGTCGCATTACGTATAGCTTGATGCGTTGCATATGCATGCATCCTTTATACCATAATTTGTTATGACGTTTTTTTTCTAAAATTTAAGCTATGTTTTATTGAATTATATATAATTACGGGTCAATCATAATCGTATGGTAGCCTAACTTTATTGTTTTATTATAATAAGAGAAAACAAGTTCCAAGAAGTACAGAAATATTGTTACTGATTATCTGTGTATTTTCTTGCAGGTGTTGCTGACATTTGGTTTCCTGGTGATTGGCTTCACGTTTAGCTTCCTTGTACAATTTCGAAATGAACCACCCTTTGGTTCTCCTTGGCAGAGTTTTGTAAAAACGATGGTTATGATGACCTCAGAGTTTGATTATTCCGATTTATTCACGGATCGGGAAGATTATATTGTAACGTTGACTTTGGGTCGATTGGTTTTCGTTGCATTTCTCGTGCTTGCCGCCATTGTTCTTATGAATCTTATGATTGGTTTGGCAGTTAATGATATAAATGATCTTGAGATCCGTGGAAAGACTGAGAGACTGTTCAAACAGGTGAACTTTCTTTGCAGTCTAGACTCACTGGTTTATAACGAATTCATGTTGAAATATCTGCCAATCCATCTTAGACAAAGAATGGAAAGAGGTCGTTTTGTTGATACAAAAATGTTCATTTACCCTGGGAGACCATTGAGAACTCTTTTTAAAATGCTTCCTACCTCCATTAAAGAGGAAATAATCCAAAAGGCAATTGCTGGTAAAAGAAACGAAGAGCCTAAATTGGCCGACGTTCTGTCACAATTGAATGAGATAAGGAGCCTGATAAACTCAAAATTTAAATCATCTGGCATCGCGAAGGAGACTTTTGTAAGCTCGGTGTCTTTGCACAAGGAGAAATATAACGCAAATTCAGAAGAACATGAGTAACGTTATAGAGGATATCTCAAATTTGAGAAAAGACTCAAAAATTCTGTGGACAGAATCGACTAATGTATTTGAGGATGTGAGGAAGTTTTTTACTATTTTTCAAACTCAACTGAAATAGCTTAGAGAAGCATTGGACGTCATCATGAATCCCATAATTACGTAGCTTGAGCAAATAGAAATCAAAACCTTAAATTTGCCAAGTTTTTCTCTTTCTATTTTATGATAATTTCTCCGGTATTATTTTATGGGACGTTATGTGGTATGCCGCCAATCATATAATTGGAATTGATGCAGCGCTTTATTCACTAATGTAAGTTATACGTGCACATATAACTTGTGTAAATCTTCTAGGATTGCACGGATATTGATTATCGTCAAGTAATAACTTTAGCTTTAATAATTTCGTTTTATTGAAGATAAACATACTGTCCAATCATTCTATTTCAGATATATATATTTGAAAAATGATATAAGTATAACTATCTTGTTATAAAATAATTAAGATAGTCATATAGTTCTAGCTGCACTACAGAATGCTTATATAGGCTCCAAATGTGTATTTCATAAAAATAATATGTATATATTAGAAAAAAAAATGCTTCACTTTTGTGAGTGAACTATATATTTTATTTATATGATATAATTTGAGAAAATTTCTCCTTTAAAATTACTGTTTGCCCATCGTGTGTTAGAAATGAACAATTTTCAAAACTCGTTATTCCTCTTCTCTTCAGTAAATTCGTTCAAATTTGATTTAACCCAATCTTTACCCGTGATAAGAAATCTGGCTCAGCTCCGTTTAAAAACATCAAGTGTTATAATTTGAAGAAATACATTTTTGCCAAATTAGAAGATACATTGCTGCAGAAAAAATTCCGGACATGGGTTTAAATTGGAAAAAATTTAAGTAAAACGTCAGTCCATGAAATCCGTTTTTAATTTTGAGTTATCCAGGCCTTGCATCTCTGTGCAAGCGATCCTTGAGAGAAATTAGTGTTTTTTATGAGTTTCATTAATTCGCGTTTGGATTTCCGATGCAATAAGCTTCTTGTTCATTTTGGACATTATTAATAATAACTGGTCTTCCGCTTTGGAAATGGCTCAAGACCTTCCACTGCGTGCTTTGTCCTTATTAGAGCGTGTTATCCGGACGAGAGTGATAGCATCTCCAACAGTGGACCGCGATATTTTCCGTTCTTCGGTGATATAACGTAGACGGGGAGGGGGATATACAGTTTTCTATAGACAAATCGTGAACACGATTTAATCGACCGCTGCCCAAGAAAGACTGGCGCAAAATGGTTTGAATACAGTTTAGGCCTTGTCTGGAAACTCTTCGACACTACAGTGTATATCCCACATAAGGCAAAGATCTTATGGATATCCTTTGAACGTCTTCTGGATGTATTTTAGAAGCGTCCCGTGAACGTGCCACGGTCATAGGACACTTTGTGGTATGTAATCATTGAAGACGTTATTTTTTAGAAAAAGATTCTTTTGAGTTGGATATCGTGATGGTCCATATTCGTTACGGGTGAAAAATATGAAAGTTAATTTTTTTTACGATTTAATTGAAAGTAAAGGAAAGTAATAATTTTTTACAATTTTTTATTTCGGATGTCAATACTTCATTTATATGTGTACACGTAGGATAGATGAGTAGCATCGTGAAAATGCAGTTTTTCTGTTAAAGGTAATTTTTAATTAATTATATAGAAGAGCAAGATGGAATAAGCGCCGGGAGATAAAATTCCTAAAAAATTTGATGATAACCAGCTAAAATAATATTTTGCAGTAGTTTAAATTATTATGTTTTCAAAATTTCCAGTTTGGCTCACCTTACTCTGTAATAATGTATTAAAACTTGTTAAATTTCAATTTACGAAAAATGTCTCGCATACAATTGCCCAAATATAATTGCAGGAAAAAACAGATTACCGAAAACAATTATACGAAATAATAATTTCGCGAATACAATTTTCCAAAAGTACAATTTTTCGAAAGAGTTTTTCTTCGAATAAACAGTTTCCCGAAAAGACAATTTCTCTAAAATACAATTCCGCGAAATGGCAATTTACGAAAAAGGCAATATCTCCAAAAGACATTTTTTCAGAAAAAAGTTTCTCAAGAATACAATTCCTCGAATGAACTTGCCTACGAAACAAGCGTGTACCCCATATAAGCGTATTACCCCATCACAGCACTTGCGCTGTTAAGTGAGATTAGCTCGCTCGAAGATCAATAATAATTATAGCAGTGGAGTGGCTCATGAAAATACTTGCAGTGTTAATCTATTTTTTAACTGAAACACCAACACGATCACTAATAATCACACAATTTAAGTTCTAACCTAACCTAACCTGTCCACCATTTACAAGCCCATCACAGAATTCGTCTCTATGTCATCGATTTTTATAAACTGAAACACAGTCACTATCACAACTATCAACCACTATGTATAAAATGTAATAAGTTCTTAAAATTATTTTTTAAAATAAATAAAATATCTCTAACAAACAAAAAAGATTTATTTCCTTTGGAGGAAGAATTTTCAACGAATTTTAATCATCTTGAAAAATCAACTTTTAAAAAATTGACTTTTGAAAAATTGGCTTTCGAAGTGGCGACCACCAGCCTGCCAAATAATATTCGATAAGAAATAGCTTGATGGTTTATTAATTGTTAAATGAAAAATTATAATTAAATATAAATAGTAGTAACAAAACAAAAGAATGGCGAAAGCATTACAAAAACTTCTACAAATACTATAATATAAAATATTGAATTAGCACCCGATTATATAATAAGCAGATTGGGTATTATGATTCAATAATATTTGAGCATACATATGTTATAACAATAGTTTCAGGCATATATTAATCTTTTTTGAAGAAAAGCAATTCACAGCAATTCTGTACTTAATGAGCTTTTTCACACAAAAGTATTTTCGTGGGAGATTATAGTTGCTCGCGATATTAGGATGCGAAGAGAATTCTGGAAATTCTCTCAAAATTTTGCATTATCAAAAAAAAAACCAATTCAAGAACTTGTTTATTCAGGAAATTGTTTTTTTTTCGGAAAATTGTTTGTTTTGGGATATTGTTTATTACGGAAATTGCTCATTCGAAAAATTGTCTTCTATGGCAATTTTTTAAAATTATTGCCTTATCGTGCGTTTGGTTTCAAAAAATTAATTTTTCGGAAAATTGTTCTCGAGAAAAGGTAGATTCGGTAAATTGTTTCTTCGAGTAATTGTTTTCAGGAAATAGTTTTCGGAAAATTGTTTTTCGGGGAATTGTTTTCAGAAAGTTTTCTTTAAACGCAAGTAAGCAGAAGGAACATTACCAGCTACTCGATGGATATCTGGAGGGCACCAGGTGAGTCGAATTAGTGCCAGGTGAAGACGAAAAGACCAAGGCAGAGGTAGAGGTCAGAGGGTGATGTTCGTCACAGAACTAACAATTAATCGATAGCTCGTACCGACGAAGGTCATGAACCACCCATCCGTCGTAATCCATAAGTCTAACCTACTTAACTATGGTTAAATGACGACATCAGTACTATAGTGAACGGACTCGTTTATACTGACAGCAATACGGAGATTAACCTTTGAGAAATTGATCTCCTGACCCAACCACACTTCATTATCTCAGATATCGTCGTACTAACGTCGTATCCTACATTATATATATTTGTACTTCCTGAGCATTTATGTTTGTACATTGTACCTCATTATGTATTGAGAATATCTTGGGTACCATAACTACGAGTAATTTCGTAGAAAACCAGGTCACGTGTCCAAAGGATAATTTTTTAAATATAAATCTGAGAGTATACGACTGATAAAAATTAAGGAGTTTGTCTTTTTTACTAAGAAGTTTTATAATTGCATTACTAATGTGCTTATTTTAATTAAACTGTCAAAATGATGAATGTTTTAATTACGTACAACTTCTAACACTTCAACAATGAACTTGAGCACACATTTTCGATGTTAGAATTGTGTAACTTTTTACAATGATTTTACGCATCCCCAAAAATCGACAGGATTCGTTAAGTTATTGCAGTTTCTGATAGGTTCCGTCAGAGCTCTCGTTTTGGTGGAGTTGGGCCTGTTCCATCCCAACTCCCAGGTCATACCGGCTCGTCAGTTCCCGGTGAAAAAAGAATTGGTTGGCGCCCGTCTGGCTTGCGGATGCATGAGCGAAGGGTGGACGGCCGAAGGTAACGTAGGTTAGTTCTCGGATTTTTCGTCATCGGTGTCGATATAAGAAACACAATGGTATAGAGTCACAAGTTTCAAAGATGGAAGAATGAATATTCATGAATTCATAAACAAGCTGCGGTTATGAAAATTGCATAATTTTATTTCGGATTCCGTTAGAAATTATTATGCTTTATGGAGCAGAAATATAAGACTGGACATGAGAGAAAAATACAGAAGACGAAGAGACGTGGTATAATAAAAAACAATTAAAGGAACAACATGAAAATAGCTGTAGAACGAGGACTTATTGAAACTTATTAAAAACTTATACTTTATTGGAGTTCAACATATTTAATAGTAATTTTAGTGCCTTTTCTGTTTATTCAGTCTCCCGAAATCCGCGCTCCTTTTATAAAAATTTCTCAAATCTTCGTGCTCCATTTTCTTTCCTTGTTTTCCAGTGCTTTTTCATCATATTTACAATTTTATCTATAGCTGCCTTGGGTTTTTCTGTACTAAATAAAATAATATCCTATCATTACAAAAAAGACTATCTATTGTGACCTATTTCTTGGCCAGTCGCAACAACCTCTATCGCAACAAGGGAGGGTAAGAAATTATAATTAATAGCAAATATCAGTACAAAATAAAAAGAGAACAGGAAAGAAAATGAATCAAAGATAATAACTAGGAATACAATATTCAAAGTGCGCAATACGCGTCCAGACTCGATTGACAGACTCAAAACAATAATATTACGGGGCTCCCGCAGAAGCTAGTCACGGGCCTTTAAATTCGGCCTAGGGGAGGGAAGTTGTAAGAGGAGCGACAGGCGGGTGGGCAAAGGGCAGGAGGCAAAGGAGGGCTTTACCGGCACTCTCGAAAATAGTAATTTGGGCGCCAGCTATGGTGACGGTGTAGCACCGTCAAGTGACCCTCAGAAGATCCTCGGATGTTTACATTACTGGACTCGATGGCACGGCAAGCACGGTGGCGAGGAGGAGGTTTTCTCATGGAGGAAGGTTCCCGAACGTAATGGCTACTTAATAATTACCTCGGATATTAAAATTCTCAAACAAGTGGACTAGGTCGGAGAAAAGGGTCCGAAGGATAACTGTAAAAGAGCGCAAAATACTAAACTCTATGACGCACGCAATATACCACTCGGCTTCGCGTTAGTGGTGGAAGGCCGGTCCAAATTTTAAAAAAAACTTACAATGCCGGTCCACGTGGAGAAGGCTCGCGAAATCCAGAAGGAATCTACTAAATATAAACAGCGGGGTAGGGAAAAGGACAAAAAGGTACTCAATCAGACGCTTAAGAGTACTCACTCAAACAGTCCGCTAACCACAATATAATACAATTTATCCGCACTAGGAACACACTCGCATATTCTCTTCAATATCGTAGCTCGTCCTTATATTTCAATCCTGTCCTAATAAAAGGACTTTGTTGTATTTTGGTGGAATTTCGGTTTGCTTTCTTTCTGGTTATCTCGTTACCAACTGATCCTAAGATACCGTGTTTCGCGTCGCGAGAGTGGTCTCTCATTAGTAGCGTAGAAATATCGAGATCGGTATCCCAGTGGATATCAGGCGCCCAGATAATTCTCGTCTCTCCCGTTGGTATCTCTCGCAGGGATTTCATCATGGACATTTACGACGGTGAATTTATAAAATTTTACATCGCAACGTATATTAATAATAGTTTATAATAACGTTATCTATTAATATAGTACACACTCTTATCCTAGTCTCTCTATATCCGTTTTTTTCTTTTTTACAGCTCACACTTAATAAAATAATTTTGTATATTTTCATTCACGGCTTTTAAATTAATCCTTTTGATCTTTTGTGCTGGCAGTATGTAAACATATGTATATTGTTTATAAAACAACAACATTTGGCAACTTTAAATATTTTTACTCCAATAAAAAACGCAATTTTCGTTCACTTCCTCTTTGTTTATACAATATATAACTTGCTGACCATAAAAATAATTGTATCCAATCACATTCGCATGAAACGGGCACACCCGTACTGTGGGTGCGCCTCAGAAATGAATAATCATTTTGTTCATACATGCACGGAAAAAGGTGTTCTGTAAATATTAAAGTGATATGAGTAATTTTTACATTTCGTACCGGTAATTATATGGATACAATTTGTTAGGAGCAATAATTCGTCTCTCAGTTAATAGCTCCCCATGGAAATATACATTAAGAATATATACTTACTTTTTCAATATTTTCTGAATTTCCGAAATAGATATTACCTATTTATACGTTTTGATCAGTCATTACTTTATCGCAGCTAAAATACGGTGACCGTAATTTTCGATGATACAGTAACGCGACTGCCAAAGTATGGCTCCAAATTATCAAAGGTTTAATGATCCAAGAGAAAAAAACTTTCTTGATTTATTACCACCGTGGAAAAATATCTGTTAGGTACACTTTGTCAGAAGATTCATTCTTTGAAAGCAGAAAGACAAAAGAATCGCAGTGAAAAGCAATGTACTGAAGATGATTAGAGATTAGCGGAAGGGAGTTGGGACAGAGAAAGTAATGAAATATATTTAACTCGGCTGGAATATAAAACAATCTGCAGTCAAATGGACAGAGGATGCAGAAGAAGAAGAGAAAATCAAATCTAATGAGTCAGTACAAGAAAAAATATTGAAAAGACTTTATACTGCCAAGTACATAATTATGTAAATCACCGCATATCTGCATATTATATGATCTAGCATTACCTCCTAATTTTTCTTGTAATTTCTTATAACGTCTTCGCTACTCTGTTGGGTTAATACTGCTTTTTATATTTAATTATGATTTAATAGTCATTCAATAATTAATAACATTTTAGGAGATTCCTTATCGAGTACTACTTGGCCCAAAATTTCACAGTACTGACTTCGGGCACGGACCCGCCAAGTATTACTCGATAAGAAATCTCCTAAAATATTATTAATTATTAAATGACCATTATAACATAATTAATCATAAGAACCAGTACTAATCTAATAGAGTAGTGAAGACGTTATGAAAAAAATTCATAAATCAATTAAAATGATGAGCTAATGCTAGATAATACAATATGCAAATAAGTAATTAATTAATGATTCATGTACTTGGCATTATAATATTGTATAATTTAAATATTTTTTGTTAGTAGAACATTAATGCATGACATGAATATAGGAATTTCCTTTTAAGGTTAGAAATTCACAGCAATCCTCTACATGGCGAGGCTTTTTACACGAAAGTGTTTTTGTGGGATTACA